TTTAGGGGTCTATCTTTAATGCTGTTGATTGAAAATGGAAAATAATTTTATTTTTGGGGGAATTTTTGACATGTTTTGGACTTAACTATCCTGGCCAAAATCTTGAGTTAAAGTTTGGGTTAAAGTTTTGTAATGGCTTACCATTCACTTAATAATGATGTTAGGATGTTAATTCTTAGCATAGAGGTTCTTTAGGGGTCTATCTTTAATGCTGTTGATTGAAAATGAAAATAATGTTATTTTTTGTGGGAATATTTGACATGTTTTGGACTTAACTATCTTGGCCAACACCTGCAGGTTAAAGTTTGGGTTAAAGTTTTGTAATGGCTCACCGTTCTCTTTATAATATTGTTAGGATGCTGATTTTATGGACAGAGGTTCTTTAGGGGTCTAGCATTAATGTTGTTTAGTGAAAGTGAATAAATAATTCTTGTTTTTAATTTTTGACATGATTTGGACTTAACTATCTTGGCCAAAATCTGAAGGTTAAAGTTTGGGGGGCATGTATTGATTCATCAATACCCACAGAATGCTTGCTAATTGAGTCGTACACTGTGAAATAATGTGTATATTGAGTCGTACACTGTGAAATAATATTTATATTGAGTCGTACGCGATGGAATTATATTTATATTTTACAACGTGGAATACTATTTATTTATATATATTTTGAGTCGCACACTGTGGCATGAAATTTATTTCGAGTCGTACAATGTGGAATGTTATTTATGTTCAGTCCGTTACTGTAGAATGCGATTTATATTAATAATAATAATGATATACAGCATTTGATATGGCGCCCTTTCTAGCTAAACTAAGTCACTCTTACATATATATATACAAATTATACAATCAATACAATTAGCATAGATACATAATCAATACAATTTTGAGGAATATGCAGGAGCTGCCTTGTCAGGCGCTAACTACTAGTCCTATGCCACCTGGCTAATATCTCCCTATGTGTGTATGCCTGCGTATGCTTCCAACTGTATCATTTATAGTGCCACCTCACTTGAATGCAACAGCACAGATACTGCAAAATCCACCCCAGACCATTTTATACTCCACCTGGGTTGTTTGAGTTGTGTGGGCAGGAGAAAAACACTTTCTCTGAAAATTCCATGCGTACAACGACTTTGTTAACCACTTGATCAATCCACCCATATTGAGCCGTACACTGAAGAATACAACTCGCACGATTGTGTACGCTATAAAAGGTTACTATCACACATTGTATATTGATATCAAACTATGGCCAGACGCATTCTCGTATGGCGTGAGTTTTAATAGTTTTCTAAATCGATATTGTATTTATCAAAAGACAGTTCTAACAGTTGATAAATAATGTAGTGAGACATCCATCACGTGCAATCTGTAATTACATACATGTCAAAATTGATAGCTTTAAGAGGGAGTATATATATATATAAATGTACTCTTTGAAACTCAATGAGTCTCGGGAATGCACACTACAAAAACACCCGTTGTTTTAACACCATGATGTAAAACTTTCGTAAACTATTGATTCTGATATGGTGCTTAACATAACCACCTTTTAGAAGTTTTAGGTTCCTTGCTATAGTCACATAATTATGTTCAATATGTGAATATGTAATTTCTTGCAGCAGGATAAATCTATACTTTTGTATGCCAATATTTGGCATACAGAAGTATGTCAAACGTTGTCATATATTTCCCAAAACAAAACAAAAAAACGAAATTGAAAAGTAGCAACAAAAGCGTTTATTGTTTTTAAAAGCATGCACATAAAAAGTTATTTGGTCACCAGGACCGACAGTCTTTACCTTTCTTAAATGTCGGCTTAAAGTTTAGATATATAAAAGGAATTTTATTCAGCTGTTCATATTTTTACAAATGTAGAATTTTCTATTTATAAAAAAAATATACTTTAATTTATCTTTCAGTAAACAAAATATTGTATAGTGCGTGACCAATTCGCACAAAGTAAACTAATAATGCATGTATTGTGTAACGTGTTATAGACACTAACATGCATATATCGAGATGCTACAGGGGACATAACTCGTATTGTTCGGTTACATTACACTTTTCATTATATGTTTTGTCAAAATAAAAGCCATGAACGTAAACCTTAAGTTATTCTGCCGCTATTCAAAAACTATGTGATTTAATTATTTGCATCGGATGTCATTTTACTCTCACACAAGCAAAATTTCCCTTTATACACAATGTACTATAAGACGTGTCGTAACGTTTGTATACAAAGTAAAACTTTGATATTACATATTTTCAGTTCAAAACTGATGAATCTTATTGAAGATATATGATAATGTATATTGTAGATATTTCGCTACTCTTGAGCGTGTTCCAAATATCCAAACTGTCGAGATAGATGTTCTACTACACGTTTAATGTTAAATAGAGCGGGCATAGTGTAGCTGTGAGTAATACCTAAAATACTAATATATAGGAAGCGTATATATATATTTTGATTTGTTTTATAAGGCGATGCAGGAAGCCAACAAAGTGATCATTAGCTTCATCATATGGATATTTCGTAAGTAACGAACTCATCCGGGGTACTAAAGGATGAAAGATAAAACAAGTTAATGTCTAAACTGTTCCAAAATATGTATCAAACAGCAAAAGCGTAAACTTGCCAATAAACCATTTACAAAATTACAAACTCCACTTTTTGTTATGAATCAATGGCATTTACAGCGCTATAAAATTCACAATTGTTAAGGCAGATATTGCTAAAACGTAATGTAGATGTGTGTTCTTCTATTTACTGCATACAGTAAATCTTTTTGTGTTATCTACTTTACACACTTATATTTTACCATAAATAGCTGTTTCATTTTAAGACACATATTGGAATTTGCGCAGTGTCCATTTCGCTTTTCGAGGCCCTATTAAATATCGCGTTTTTGGATTCTGTAAGAATGTATTGCAACTTTACAAGAAATGTGATACTGACATTTCTTTCTTCCTCATGAAAAAAAGTCACAAAAATAAAAGTATTATAACCTGTCTTTCATACAGTATTGATAAGTTCAATATGATATTAAATGTAACAGTTATGAACGATATGTCGCAGATACGGAAAAACTGAATAGAGTTGAAGAGGAAAACAAAATGCCTGCGACAAATCTATTTTATACTGCATTTTCAAAACAAAAAAATCAGTAATATATACAACATTATACATGCATCACAAATAACTCTTTCTTATTTATCACGCGAACAGATTTTTTTTAATTATTATTTTACCGATGTCAATTTTATTTCGTCCACCAAACGCCCCCTTTTAACAGTATTTTTTTTTCATGAATGATATTCTGCTTAAACTGACCATAATCTTCAAAATTCTGATAGATCGATTGTTATCAAATGACTGTACAGCGTTTTAACTCTTAATTTTTGTTCATTAGTTTAAGTAGACTTTGTGGATGATATCTTAAGAACTTAAATTTGAATACGTGACCTGAGTTACAGTTTTATCTTTTCTCTCATTAACACAGTCATACATTAATGCAGTCATACACTAACACAGTCATACACTAGCACAGTCATACATTAACACAGTCATACATTAATACAGTCATACATTAATACAGTCATACACTAGCACAGTTATACATTAACACAGTCATACATTAATACAGTCCATACATTTATGCAGTCATACATTAATACAGTCATACATTAACACAGTCATACATTAACACAGTCATACATTTATGCAGTCATACATCAATACAGTCATACACTAGCACCGTTATACATTAACACAGTCATACATTTATGCAGTCATACATTAATACAGTCGTACATTAATACAGTCATACACCAGCACAGTTATACATTAACACCGTCATACATTAATACAGTCATCCATTAACACAGTCATACATTAATACAGTCCTACATTAATACAGTCCATACATTAACACAGTCATACACTAGCACAGTCATCCATTAACACAGTCATACATTAATCCAGTCCATACATTTATGCAGTCATACATTAAGACAGTCATACATTAACACAGTTATACATTAATACAGTCATACATTAACGCGGTCATACATTAACACAGTCATACACTAGGACAGTCATACATTAACACAGTCATACAATAGCACAGTCATACATTAACACCGTCATACATTAATACAGTCCATACATTAACACAGTCATACATTAATGCAGTCATACATTAACACAGTCATACATTAATGCAGTCATACATTAATACAGTCATACATTAACGCAGTCATACATTAACACAGTCATACACTAGCACAGTCATACATTAATACAGTCCTACATTAATACAGTCCATACATTAATACAGTCATACACTAGCACAGTGACTGTGCTAGTGTATGACTGTATTAATGTATGACTGCATTAACACAGTCATACATTAATACAGTCATACATTAATACAGTCATACACCAGCACAGTTATACATTAACACAGTCATACATTAACACAGTCATACATTAATACAGTCATGCACTAGCACAGTCATACATTAACACAGTCATACATTAATGCAGTCATACATTAATAAGTCATACACTAGCACAGTCATACATTAACGCAGTCATACATTAACACAGTCATACACTAACACAGTCATACATTAACACAGTCATGCACTAATACAGTCATACACTAGCACAGTCATACACTAACACAGTCATACACTAACACAGTCATACACTAACACAGTCATACATTAATGCAGGTTAAAAAAGTTGTCGGCAATATCAACATTTTGAAATCGTTATTTGTTCAAAAACGATAACTTCAATTATAATTGATGTAATTTCATCAGCTACAATCATATTCCGTCTTTTCGTATTGCAGAGTTATCTGCTCTTGATAACAGGTATTGGTTGTTACGTCATTTGTTTATGAGAGTAACGTCATCATTGTTTTGAGAAAACGACGTAATTTCCTCACACTAACTAATGACGTAACAATCAATCCCTACTCACAAGAGCAGATAACTCTGCAATACGAAAAGACGGAATAAATAAACAAAGGAGTAAACGGTAAAATTATCCAAATTCGTTAACTCAAAAAACATCTGTTTAAATGTGAACATCTGTGAGAGAACTATGTTTTCACACGAGGCATCCTAAAGAGGAGGTGTTTTTTCATTAGAAAATAACGAAGACAAATACTTATGTGTTGTATAATCAGTTATCGATTAAGAGATTTTCTTGTATCTAATCTGTTGCGATATCAAACACATCTCAATATTTTAAAGGGACGATATAAACGATCAAACAACGATATTCATTAAGGTCATATATAATGTAACACCAATGCCTGATACAGTCGAGTATATCCCAAATATCAATAGACAGTAACATATCGTGAGAGTAGCAAATCTCTGTACTGTTCCTAATAACGTAGTGGGTTTCATCTCGTCATATAAAAGCATGATTTTGACACTTGCGGGAACGATTATTGTCCCGATGTACGTCCAGAGACAGCCTGTGAATGACATCAACAACTCAAATTCCGGAACCAACAGGGTGAAGGTGCCTGCAAACAACGGCAAAAGATTTATTTGTTACTAAAATATTGCTAATGTCTTTATGATATATTTTAAATTAATTATCCCAATGCACATAGCATTGGTAAAATGCTAGATCATGAATTACACATCAATACAGACACGTTGATTTCCGTTATATAACAACTTATATCACAAAGTAACATAACACTCACAGACAGCAACCAGCAAGATGAAACGGAAAAGATATTCTCCGTAGTTTCGTATCCTCGCCGAGGTGATTTTACTTTGTATCCTCCGCCAACTGATATCAACAGGAACGAATACCACAACACCTGTAGTACAGTACAGGGTCAGGAAGAATAGAATCCTCAGCGATTTGTACAACCTGGGAAGTGGATGATAGGTAGATGATTATTCCGTCTTTGCGTATTGCAGAGTTATCTTCTCTTGGGAGCAGGTATTGATTGTTACGTCATTGGGTTGTGTGAGAAAATTACGTCGTTTTCTCAAAAAATGATGACGTTACTCTCACAAACAAGTGACGTAACAATCAATACCTGCTCCCAAGAGAAGATAACTCTGCAATACGCAAAGACGGAATAATAACTTTTACATACTTGATCAAAAGATGAACAGTTTTTTGTTATGTTTCTGACACATTCTTATTATTGTCACACGTCTGGTCATATTTGGAATGCATTCTTGAAAAGAATTATTCTTTTGGCTTATACACTGACGTGTGACTGTTTTCCGTCTATTTTTTCTGACCTCGTTCTACTGTAACCGTTTCTATTTATCATTAGGTTCTTTGATCGTTACACATACATTCATACGTGTGAATCGGTTTCATGTCATAGCTCGTCCTAGAACCATTGGATGGTCGCAAGATATTTCCAATAAAAATCCCTGAAATTGTCACATTACTTTGAAAGTCCAGCTAAATAGCAAAATAAATAATTTATGTATCAACTAATACCACTGTTTTGGTACTTGTTTGTCCAAAATAATGAATAATGTTCAATTATGGTCTTTTCTTGGAGTGAACATATGGTTTTTGACCCTACTAAAAACGTGACCGAGACTAGTTAGAGACCTGAATTATTACACAAGATGTGTAATTAAGCTGCTTGTTCATTATTGAACAATACGGAACGCAGGGAAGTAATCAAGAGAAAATTGTTGTATTTGGCAAAGAATATTGTAAAGTCTACTTCCATGTGACGTCATAAAGAGAGTTTTCACTTGCTGACTTTCAAAAAGGTAACATCAAATCCATGAAACAAACAAAAGATAAATTAGATCACATATTATGACGTCCTTAGCAATCAGAGTTTTTCAAAAGTTTCTAATAAACAAACCAGTTATTGGCTGGAAGGTCGAGTAGATACATCACGCGTGTCATTTCTCCAAATTTCAGATATCCGTAAAAACCACACGCGGCATGGAAACATGTGACAAACATCAAAGCTACACCCAGCACTCCGTTCCAGCCGTCAAAGTGTTTGGTTGTCCTCATCCTGTTACGTACTGGTAACACCTGGTATTAGAAAGGTTACATCGTATTCCTCCGTTTCTTGTTGACAAAAGGAAAAGTTTTAAGTAATGGAAATTTGACCTTTTGTTCTGTTATACTATTGACATTTTACATTTATGATCATTTGGAATTGATAAGACTCTTGGGGATTTATATATAGCCAAATGTTCGTACAAAGTTGTACATTATCCCTCTTTAATGAGATATACATATGTTTATAGTCATTCTCATCAAGTGATAACAATCGATACGGGTCCTGTACCTTTCAAAACTATCCCATAATGCACAATATGTCCTTACTTAACGTAAACGAACATCAGCAAGCGATTACAGAGAATTTAATTATAACATGGACATAGCAAAACGTACTTAGCAGCTAGCTATCTCAATATTCGGCGAAAAAAGATTATAATAGGATTAAGAGGTTAAAAGCTAACACTGTCATCCAGAGACTGGACTCTAGCAAATCAGTCGACTGTCTTTTTTATCACATAACTGACCCTTCGTACTATGTCAAACTGTTCTTGTCATACATATGGTAATACATAGGTGTAATACAATTTAAACATGCTACTATTGATCAAAACTGGGGGGATGTATTCCTACGCCACTGCAGTTACTACTTTTATTTACTATACCACATGATACATTTACTGGCATTCTAAATGAATTTGAAATGTTAATTTGTTATTTTCATCGCATTAAAACAAAAATATTTAAAGAGAAAAAACATCTGGAACTCCTTGACACTGCACGGGACGACACTATTATGACCAGAGTACTTGGGTTTTAACTATATAGCGTCAGCTGAGAACACATCATTGTGTTTGAAGTTTGTTTTTTTCAAATTGTGACTGTTATGTGATAATTATAATATTACATTCGTGTCCACGTCATATTGAATTCATTAAACTTGTTTTAATAATATGATATGCACTCGCCTCAAGCCTGGTAAATTCAATATGACATGTCTGTACTAGCTCTGTATATAATAATATGAAGAGGTGCTGACATGCACAACTCTCAGATTCTACAGCTGGATGCAGGGAAGTCTGAACTTATCTGATGAGTAAAATATCAATACAGATCAATCAATATGTGCGCTTTCAGTTATGCGGAAACGCAAATAAATGTACGTATTTCACTAAGATATTAAATGTCAAGTCATTAATCTCTAAAAACGGTAGCTTTTGCGGCAGAAATATTTCCTAAACCTCTCTACTAAAACTGATATTTTTAACAAAATCATGAGAAACCAAAATTATCAACTAAATATAACACGGTGTATTTTGCAGCTGCACAGTAAATTCATTTTAATAAAATTTCCTTTTGTTTTAGACAACTTACCACCCCAATTCCATCCAGTGTGAACATGACGTCGTTCGCGAATGTTGTGAATGTTAAATAATTCGGAGATTTAGCAGCTATTCTTGTGTTAACATCTGGTAGATCATGGCATATGTATTGGAATGATATCGCCACTATTCCAAGCAGGACGAAGTTCGCTAGAGTAGCCAGGGTGGTTAGTAGCCTCATTCTCCTCACCAGATACACCGGTATTAATAGCACCGATATTATAATCATAATCACGTGTACATCAATCTCCAATGCCTCCACCAACAACTGCAAAAGAATATGCAACATAAATATGTATATCTTAAATGATAAGACATAATGAATTAACAGTATAAGAACATTGCAAAATTATTGTTATCATTGATGAGATCAATAAATAAAACATAACCATTTCATTAATTTATATCACAGCGGAACGAAAACATTCGTCTTTGAAATAATCTTAATGTATACGTACGTCCCGCGCAAACAAGGTCATCAAGGAAAGCATACCCGCCAAAAACAGGAAATGGTTTAGTAATAAGGCAAACTCGACCATGAATCTGTAATAAAGAATATATAGATAGTATTTTAGATTTTCAATACATATTCTACGTGATTAACACTATGTACATTATTTTATTTAAAAAGTTATTAATTTTAGATTTTAAACAGTCCAAGAATATCATATTTCCCTTATCAGGAAATTAATGTTATACTGATTGCTTAACGATATATGCGGGTGTTGGTAAAGAGATCATACCCGGTATGAATTGATAAAAGACAATAGTTTACTTGTATTTCCCAGCATGAGGGCGTAACCAGGGAGGTCCCAACTTCATACTCATCTCCGCTACACTCACAATATCTCCAAACCTCTCGCCAGTTCTGTAATAATTAGTGCTTAAAGCTACAAATATCCTTACTATTCCTAAAAGGACAGCATTAACAATCGAACGCAATGACGCGATGTGCAAATAAGATTCGCTCGAATTAACGAAGGACACAATGCAATCGATAGTTTGTAAATATTCGCAATGTAAGGCGCATTTCTTTCGATGTATTGTTAGTACAAGATCCAGTGATGACTAAGTCAGGACAACAGATGTTCATTAATTGGCATTGATAATATAATTAATAATAAAATGAACGTAGAAACATGCAGTCATAAAATCAGATGTTTAATAATTCTATTTGTAAAAGTATAAAGCAATAACCTGTCCACGAGACATTGTGTGCTGTTCACCAGTATAAATATACATGCTTCGTTGAGAAATCCATAAAACAGGAGTCCAACCAATCCAGTCTGTAAGTACAAGTATATATCATTTTATAATACTGTTTTTATCACATAATGTATTGTGTTGTCCAGTGAATATACCCATGTCATATTTTTTTTGCGTAAAACTCATGTAATATGACCTATCAGCCCTGTGATTGGTTGTAAGTTTCAATAGTTTCAATTGTGACGTCACGCGTAAGACAAGTACATGACGCAACAGACTTATGCACTGGAGTCAAAATGGCGGCTATTTACAGTTCAAAGGTTGCATGAAAATTGTCGTTTTACACGATTAAATGCCACAGAACTTGATTGATGTTACTTTCGTTACATTTGATATGAAATTCGTCAAGAATTTTTCATTTTAGCTCGCCAGAGGTTTACTTAATTGAAAAAAAATCTTAGCCTCGTTTCATAAATCTCATATGAAATGAAAACTCATGTAAGATCCTATATATATATATTTGTCTGTAAATACAATGTTAAACATGCATTTAATTGTGTACGATTTAATCCTGGACGCAGATAATCGATATGTGTATGTACACACGTTTACCTTAAATCATGTACTGGTAAATAGGCTTTAGTCAACATTCCACGTGAGTCTACATTATAATTAAACTAATCATTTTTTTCAAATCCCAAACACAAATATTGCAACATATATATGCACATTAATAACAGAAATATCCAGAAAGTGAAACGTAGCTGATGAAGTTGGGAACTTGATTGTCTATATTTCACAAAGAATTTCCTCATAGCAAGTTGTGATCGGCAATATAATCAATAGAAACAAACATTTAAAAGACATAAGGTGTACATTTCATACTTGATACGTGTTTTTCCAATGCAAATACCGGAAACGTATTAGCCACAACCAGCGTCAACGTTTTCTCCACAATACAATTCTATTTAACACAGGATATTAAAGAAAACTTATATATATTCACAACATTTAACACAGAATAATAAGCCTATTAAATTATACCTGCACGAATTTAACCCTAACGAAACTAACCCCCCAGCTTCCAATCCTAACAATACTTTAAGTTATTCCCAAGTCCCTCAAAATATACCTACTGCAGAGATGAACCCCAGGAAGTTAATCCAGCGCTCTGCCTCCACATAAGACGAACACCCCAACTTATACACTCAAAGATAGCAATACGAAACGATGGACCAATCACAGCAGAGGATTTACAAGTAAACAGATTAGACACAGACGAGAAAGCAAGAAGCTCCCGACAGGATTACACTGCACGAGCAATAACATTGACCACAGACAGGACACGTGTACAGAACAGCACAACAAAGGTCCGGTAACACATTTAAATTGAGTACAGACACAACATTCACCTAATCCACAGACCAAATCAAGCACACCAATGTTTATTTTGCATTGTCAGCCTGAGCTAGCTGTCATAAAACATACATCTATAAATGTCCACCGCTACATTTACGAAAAACTGAGTCAGTAACTGTACATGCATATATTGACTATCTCGCGATAAAGTATATATTCCAAAGAATTAGCGTGATTTATTGAATACATGTGTATCGTAATTTCTCTAATATATATATTTGTACAAAGGACAGAACGACATTTGAATGTCATTAAACTATTAATTGCATAGCATTACGTAATATATGCACGTCCTCTCCCAAAGAGGCAAGTCTTATAAATGTATAATGTCATGAATTCATTTAATGATATCCCCGGTATACTTCAGGGTGAATGATATTCTTCTGTGTCTCACTTTCATACATGGGACAACTTATATATGAAACCCTCTACTGTAATATTTGCCTTTAACCTTATTGATATCGATTTCTTGAGGGGCCAATTGTTTTACAAAAAAAAAAAAAAAAAAAAAAAAAAAAAACCCNCACACTCTCTCCAGACCATTCCTTATTCTAGTCACAATAAACAATTCATTCTCATCCTAACAGACACATACTTTTAACAATTACATCCTCAATGTTAATATGCTGATAGAAATAATGCGTTAATGTATCAATGATAACAGGAGAAAAATAACCCTTTATTCAATATTAATCATAAATTATCATGGTTAAACATTTATATATTAACAGAACAATATATTCTTGGCCAAGACTTTATGGATTGTTATCTTGCAAATAATCGCCTAAAGTATAATTTGTTTATGAGAGTATATCATGGATATCTCTCCTGATGTTATAAAATGTTTTAGATGTAATTCTTCATCCCTTTTTAATCGAAACAGTTCAGTAAAGTTACGTAACATGTATTGATATTCACACACAATTAACATCGTTTACCTGAAGTCCTTACAAAACTCCCTTCAAATCCAAATGGATTGGACTCGGAGTGTGCCCTATGTAACCTTTAATTCAAAACATTTGTATATAATCGTGGTATTCTTAACTTTGGACTTAATGACACCAAAAAATATCTAAAACAATTGACAAATGGAAGATTTAATGGATGGAAGGACTGATAACAGAATATCAGAATATTTATTCCATGTGACATCAAACGTAAAAAGGAATAGAAACAAAGATAGCTTTCATTCTATTGCTACTGCTATTTGTACATCAATATCAATAACATTTTATTGCTACCACTAAACGATATGTGATAACGACAACCGTTTAAATAATGACCAAACAATCAAATAAAAATGCCATAAAATGTTAAAGTATGATTCGTGTGTAATTTATTCTTTAAGGTAATTCGTGGAATTAAATCCATTGCATAAAAAAATCTATACGATCTATTATTTACCCATAATCCCATCAGCTTGACCATATAAGGTAGTCCTAGAAAGCCCAGACCGATGTAGTAAGGAAGCAGGAGCATCAATCCTTGAATGTCACTACGAAGAAGAAAAAAACAACATTATTTCGCTTTGTTTTTGATTTCCTAGCATGCATTTGCATCCATATAAAACACGCTTTGGCATACGTAAAAACATGCGATTAAAATAATGTGTACACAACTCAATTATGAGCAAAGCAACGATACAATTATGCGCTTAGGATATACATACACACTATTCCTAAATGGAGGATTGCCAATAAAAACACTAACTTACACAGAAAATATCGTTATGTATTAAATGGAAACCACTCATCAGGACGTAACTTACTTCAAAGTTTCTCCATTCCTTGTCTCCTCTGTTTCCGGCAAATCATTTCCAGGTATAAACAGGTTGGTGGATCTATTTGGACAGTTGACATTTCAAATATAACGATTATTTGATTTTTTTTAACAAAAGCAGAAAAGTTGTGCAATGACTTTAGTGTTAATTAGTGTTTTTGAATATCAATTATCTGTACTTATACACCTAAATAAATAAAGATACATACATACAGGTCTCAAAATAATATTGGCGGTAAGTTCAAATATGGGCACTGGATCCGAACAAACACAGGTTTGTTAGATGCGTTCTACTAAAAAGGATATTTGAACAAAGTAGTAAAAGAAGCAATACAACGAAATAGTTTAACTAATTCTTTAAGTGATATGTTGTTTTATTAGTTACATTATCTTTGAACAAAACTTATATTTAAAAACTGTTTTTCACTTCGGAGTCGAAGGCGTTAGTTATACTGACGGCCACGACATCGTTGACATATCGTCTTTGAGATACAAAATCAATGCAATCATGTTTCAGTTGAACAGTGTGCGATCGGCGACATTGGAATGTTATCAAACGCCGAACGATGGTAGCGTTAAGAAAGATGCTGTACCTGGAAGGTAGGCCTATAATGAAAATAATAACGATGCGCTCCAAATTTTAACAAATATGTGGTCGATTATATCGTTTTTACTTTCCTTATATATAAATATTATATATCCATACATGTCACATATACAATTTACTGGAAATATTAAGAAGGAGGCATTTATTAAAATAAAATTGTCGCTGAAGAAAGATAGATAAAATAAAGATTTGTTTTCAAAACTATGTATCTGTCTAATTCATTGTGGACTAATTAGATCAGTGGAAGTTGGCTCAGAAGAATAAAAATCCACATTTGTAGTATTCTGAAACAATCGCAGAATTCAGTGAAAGGGGAAAGGTTCCTACAAAACGTAGTAAATGTATATCGTTATATGTTAACAATTTGACATACACGGATGGTTTATTCTTCTACTAGTATATCTTGTCAGCCGTACATGAATACATTCCTGCTATGACGACGAAATATTGTGATGATGGTATATGCAATGCATTATCATAACACTAACATGCGTCTAAGTCTCCTAAAAAGATCACGTGGTTTGGACCACATGAACAAGTTAGTAAGCCTTTAAGACTAATACAATCTTTTACCTGTAACTGATCGAGATCGGGTTACCTCAGTCGAGGGTTAAAATTCTGTTACAAAATCCCAACCGAGGCGTAAGCCGAGGTTGGGATGTTAAAGAATCTTAGCCCGAGACTGAGATAACCCGTACTCGCTCAGTTACAGGTGATTGTTTTTTTTCTCTCGCACCTTTAAGTCCGAAAATAACTATTCAATTTTGCTAAAAACTACAAGTATCCCGCCTTGGGCCTCAAATGATAATGACCTCATCACTACTAAAGCTACAATTGAATGCTTCCGTGTAAAAATGTAGTCTGTCCTTTCATAGATAACAACGTATTTCAGAGTGTAGATTATATTCTATCTACAACATGAAATATCTAACAACATCAAAACTGTACATATGATCTAGCATGGGGTACGACGTGTGATATCTCTGTCTGAGGTGATAGAATAATACAGTCTGTTACCTGTAACTGAGCGACATCGGGTTATCTCAGTCGAGGGCTAATATTCTGTTACATAATCCCAATCAAGGCGTAAGCCGAGGTCAGGATGTTACAGAATATTGAGATAACCCGATCTCGCTCAGTTACAGGTAATTGATTTTTTTTCTCTCGCACCTTTTACTTAAAAATATTCAATTTCGCCATTGTCTACACGTATCCCGTCGGGGCCTCAAACAAATACGGCCTCTTCACTTCTAAAGCCACGTCTGTATGCTTCCGCGTAAACAATGTAGTTCGTTCTTACAAAGAAGAAAACGTAATTCACAGTGAAGATCAAATTTTATCTACAATTTTAGGAATCTAACAACATCAAAACAGTACATAAAAAGAAGAATATAATGCAGATAGTCAATTTCGAGCCGATACTTATGAGTATATATATACCCTAGGTGACGTCACACTTCGAATCAAAGAAACTTGTTGCCACGAAGTTTTTGAAGGAGCTTACATCTCATCGTCAGATTCTGTTATGATTGGATGTCTGAATCCCCGACTAGGTGGATTTACCACTGGATTAGTGTGATTGTTAACTGTGATATTGAACACACAGCCATGGATAACACTTCCTGTAAACAAAGATCTTTCGGATGTCTGTTGAGCACACATGTTGGATTGTCGTTACACACATGGGACACGACTGTTTTGACCTCGATCTGTCAGATTGTTGTCAGTAGTGTTACAAAGCAGAGACGAAATGCTACTTTTTTGTGCACTTGTCATTGCCAGGTAATTGTTTAAAGAATTCGGATTTTTGTGACCGGTGATTTGTACTGCCTGTGTGTCAGGGATGTCATTCTCCACGAGTTTCTGACCGAGATGTTTTCTAACAGAAGTATTAGTAAGTTTTTTCTCACATTTTAAGTTCGCATTTGCTGTCATTTTTCTCATTATACTTTTTAGCTTGTTCTGGCCCACAGGGCATCTTACGAACCAGTGATCGTAGTTTTTTTTTTTTTTTATCGTACTCGCGGCCAGATAGACGTCTGGTTATATTCAGAGAAATTCGCTGGTCTCCTCTTTTTATATGATTTGTATATACGGACTGGACACCTCGGGATTTTCAAAATTTTCGTGTGCCCTTGTTTTTTTCTAAATAGCGAAATGTCTGCCCCTGTCCTAGTTCTAGTTTGCCGCTCATTATACTCCAAGAATTCTCTATTTAGTTCTTGGTCGAATCCATGATGAACGTCGCCCCAGCAAAGAGCCCTGTGCTCGACTGCCCAACCCCTCATTCCGAACAACAAAGTGTTGTTGAACCATAGCGTGTTTAGAATGGAATTTAGTGAATTGGAACCAAGTTCCCCGGCATCGTAAAGTACATTGAT